ACGCTTACCGGGCTCCGGACTGCCACCTGCACGGAGGGCCGAGGAAGCTGGGGTCAAAGGTCTGCGGCAATCTGTAGCCACGTGCCCTCTTCCTCTGTCCTGCTCCAAAACTTGCCCCGGGGGCCTCTCTGGGCCTTTGGGTTTTCACTCTGTGACCCTCTCTCCCTCCCAGCCTCTCCCTCTTTCCTGCCCAGGTCGGCTGTCCAGCCGCTCTGCTGCCCTCTCTCCTCTCTCCAGAGCCTTCCCCCAGGAGGCGGAGTCCGAGGGGCCTGGGAGGCCTGGTGCCATGACATCAGCGTGGGGGGCGGGCTGTGCTGGCTGCCCAGAGGGAGGCCGGGCAAGGGGTCTCTCTGGGCGGTGCCGGGGCCAGCGTGCACCAGGCCGTGCCCACTCACCCCGGCCTCAGGTGCCTCCTATCAGCGGTAACACCACCTGCCCTCCCCCAGCACGGGGCAGGATTGGCTGGGTCCTGGCCCCTGCCTCCCTCCGCCACGCCTGTTGTGTCTTCCATACGCGGCTGTTGGAGAGGAAATAAAGGCAAACCCCACATTCTAGCCCTTTCTCCCTCATCCTGGGCACACAATCTCACCCGGCCCCTCCCGGAGGGCTCCCCTCAGACGTGTCCCCCCGAAGCTCCTCACCTCACCACGCCCCCAGCTGCTGGGAGGAGGGGCAGGATGGTGTCTGTGATCATGCAGGAAGCTTTCTCAGCCCCGCATGCAGCCCGGACACACGCAGAGCAAGGTGAACCGTGTGATTTTTTTAAAAAAAATACATATTTTATTGATTTTTTCACAGAGAGGAAGGGAGAGGGATAGAGAGCTAGAAACATCGATACGAGAGCAACATCAATCAGCTTGCACACCCCCTACCGGGGATGTGCCCGCAACCAAGGCACAAGCCCTTGACCGGAATCGAACCTGGGACCTTTCAGTCTGCAGGCCGACGCTCTATCCACTGAGCCAAACTGGTTTTGGCAACCGGTTTGAAGTGGGGGGACGCAGGGGCAGATACACGAGGAGAAGCCCACGGATGTCACTGTTAGCACTGGACGGGGACAGGGCACTCGGCTGATCCTGCACTTCCTCACCACCACCTTTGCCTGCAGCCACCAGAGCCCGGTCAGTGCCGGCCACTTCAGGGGCAGCTCTCGGCCTGGGCGGAGGGAAGCGCTCTTTGGATCCCCAGCCTCTGTAACTGGGGCAAGGCTGGCAGGCCGGGCTGCTCCAAAGATGGGGTGCCCGTCCACCAGGATCCAGTGGTCCAAGTGCGCCACCTGCTGGGCACGGGCATGGCTGCCCATGGCGCCCCCTTGGGAGCCAGGCTGAGCATCCAGCTCTTACCTGAGAAGCGAAGCGGGGGGACTCAGCCGCTGAAGAGGCTGGACTTCCTCTGGCCCAGCAGTCCGGACCCCCAAAGGCCCCCCTGGATGCCGGCGTATGCTTGGCCAGGCGGCCCTCACAGGAACTGCCTGGAACATGGTCTCCACTCCTAGATTCAGTACCTACCACTCCTCCATCTCCTCGCCACTGAGCCGGGCTGGGCAGGCAAGGGCATCAGCCCTGCACAGACAGGAAAACTGGGCCCCAAAAGGCACAAGATGTGAGCCGTGAGGGGGTGGGTGAGGAGCCGGGGAGGGGTGATCTCCAGATGCCGTAGCAGCCACGATGCATTCAGCACCTGCTACGGGCCAGGCTCTGCGCTGAGGAGGGCACAAGATTCATAATGTCGCCAAAGCCAGTTTGGCTCAGTGGACAGAGCATCAGCCTGCGGACTAAAGGGTCCCGGGTCCAATTCTGCTCAAGGGCATGTACCTTGGTTGTGGGCGCATCCCCAGTGGGGGGGGTGCAAGAGGCAGCTTGTCGATGTTTCTCTCATCGATGTTTATAACTATCTCTCTCCCTTCCTCTCTGTAAAAAATCAATAAAATATATATATATATATATATAAATCATAATGTCCTTTTCTCCATGGCCCACTGGGGAAATCTAGGGATTGGCCTTAATTCATTTGTGCTTCTCACTCTTCACCCCAAACCAAGCACCGATTCTGTCCACTCTCTCTCCACAATCTGTCCTGTTTCTCCCCACCACCCCTGGCTTCCTGGCTCAAGCTGCTCGCTCTGCTCTGCCCACATCCGCCTGCACCCTCATATGCCCATCTCCTCTGTCTAAAGCCCTTCATGCGGCTGCTCCCTCCCTCACACTGGATCTAACCTTCCTGCCCCTGCAACTCCCACACCACCTTCTAGGAACTCTCCGTGGGACGCTGGTCCCGGACCGAGTATCTCTGTTGGCCTTCCCACTCGCGCAGGGACTGTGCCTGGGTCAGGGCCAGCTGAGGGAACAGCTGAACGGGCCCAGCGACCTCAGCTCAGAGCGGCAACGGGCAGGCAGCGGGGTCCAGCCTCGGCTAGAACGCCCAGGCCCTCCCTCTCGTTGTCTCTGGCCAGAGGACAGGCACTGGGGCCTGAGAAATAGTCCCTCCATCATCCCTAATCCCCAGAGGCACAGACGGACACAGGGTGGTCTTTCTGAGATTGTGGTCACGTTTATTCTGAGAACAGAACAGATATGGCCCCACGGTGGGCCCTGAGAGGAGGGAAGCCCAGATCGGGAGACAGGCCCCTGTGGACGGAGGGAGCCTCAGGCGCACAGAGCAACTGTTCTCCCCACCCCCCCTCCGGTCCCAGCCCAGAACGCCACCCTCACCTGCCCTGTGCCCAAGACTTCCGGGAACCAGGGTCCCCACACACCCAGGATCCAGCCTGGCCCACCCCGAGGAGCAGAGAGCAAGGGCAGGGTTACCGAGCAAGTCCTGTGGGGGGCAGGGCTGGAGCCCACGGCCTGCCAGATGGTCCTGGTTTGACCCAAGGCCCAGGTGGACACCACAGAGAACAGACCCACGTGTCTGTCCCAGAGGCCGCATGCTGGCTTCTCCGGCCCGACTCAGAGCGTTCATGTGAAACAGACATAAGAGAAGTGATTACATGAGAGGGTACAGTGTGCACGCATACAGAGACAGAGAACGGGTGTGGTTTTGCCCTTAGGCAGCACTTGTCCGTGAGCGTGCTGGCAGACAGGAGTCACGGGCCCCGTGTTGCAGGAGGGGGCCGTCGAGGCACAGGAGGTGGGAGGATTTGCTCCTGGTCATCGGCAGGGTCCGGGCCCCGGGCCCAGGTTCTCGAGAGGACGTTGCAGCTTGCCCAGGGAGTCCTCTCGTCCTCCTGGTGGTGTGGTTCCCGGCCCTCACGCGGCCCAGGGCCCCGACACAGGAGCAGAGCTGGCCACAGGGTGAGGAGGCAAAGGCAGGAGTGCAGGCCAGGGCGCTGGGGCTGGGGACTCGGGTTTCCGAAGGACTTCCCAGCAAGCCACAGGCATGGCGTTCTGGAGCCGGCTGAATGTTTTTATGTACGCTGCCTGGACTGGAGCTTGGGAAGGGCTAAGAGAGACCCTAAGCCGGCCACACAGCGCCCGCACAATTGGTGCCGACGTGCAAAACATCAAAGTACAACACACCCTCCTCTTTATCTACCCCCAAACCCCTTCTGAGAAGGTCTGGCTTCTCCTGACCCCTCCCCAAATTGGAATCAGAATAAAACCAGCCCAGCCTGTGTGGCTCAGCAATGGAGCATCGCCCAGGAACCAAGAGGTCACCGGTCCCATCCCTAGTCAGGACACACGCCCAGGCTGCGGGCTTGATCCCCAGTAGGAGGCAGCCGATGGATGATGTCTCTCTCTCTCATCGATGTTTCTATCCCTCTCCCTTCCTCTGTCTAAAAAAAATAAAAACAAAGTAAATCAACAAAAACATAAAAATAAAACCAGAGGACCACAAGAACTGGAGTTTAAGAGGAGAAAAGGGGTCCACCGGCTTTCCGTTTTCCTTTTAAAACCCCTGGTTAAAACAAAGAGAATATAAAATGTTGAGGACTGAAGGGAACGTTTTGGTCTGGGCAGCAGGAAGAGGGCTGTGGCCTCCCCGGCTGCATTTGGGGGGAATGTGGGCGCACGGCCTCTGGCCTGGTGCTGGTTTGCCTCTCTCCTGCTGAGCTCTGACGCCAACGCCCCGGAGCCCCGCCTCCCAGGAAATCCCTGTGCTTGCAGCAAAGGGGGTCCTGAGCACCCTCCCCCTAAGTCCACATATCCTCCCTGCCCGCCTGAGCCCTGGCCACCAGACCGGGCGCACGCCTCTGGGGCCAGGGCCGTGGGGACAGGAAGACGCCCTTCCTGTCCATCGCTGATAGGACTTGTCCGGGGGCCTTAACCAGAGGCCGGGATGAGATCAACCGGAGTGAGATGGCAGCGGCGGCGGCGCTCTGTGCGTCCAACCACTTGCCAGAGGGGGCCTCGGCGCAGAGCTAGGATGCCGGGCCTCACAGGGCTGGGCGCAGGGCCCCAGCTCCCCCTGGCGTCTCCTGGGGTCGCTTACTCACTTGTCAAATCTCTGCTGAAGAAATGAATGGATGGGCAGGTGGATGGAATTCGAGAATGAACCGATGTCACCTGCATGTTTCCCAAATTCCAGCCGGAGCAGGAACCCAGGAAGGGCCAAGAGCCCTTTCAAGGTGGCTAGAAAGTCAAGTTCAGTGACAGAGACAGCGACGCCCGGGGTCCAGGGTCCGGGGTCCGGGGCGCTGGGGCAGGGGCAGGGAAGCAGAGGCGGGAGTGGGGTTTGGGGGTGTGGCAGTTTGTGTGTAAACAAGTGACACCTTGGCACTCTGTGGGCTGACAGCAGGGCCTGGGGAAAACATTTCCAACGGATCGAGTCCCTTAGCGGTGGGGACAGCCGGGGAAGGGAGGGCCGTTTGAATCTCAGGCGAGAAGACGTCTCAGGAGAGAGGAACGCGGTGGGGTCCTCGGGGCAGAGACCTCCCCAGGTCACACGGCGCGCGGGGCAACGTTGGGAAAAGGACCCAGTGTCCTAGCTCCGGGGCTGATTCCCGGCCGGGGACATGCAGGCGGCGGTGAGAACCGCGGGGCCGGGGCGGCAGGGAGGCCTCAGACGGCCGTGAGGGTGGCGCTGCTGAGCACGCGCACGGCGATGGTGCCGGGCAGGTCGCTGGGCTGCCGGCTGTCCCGGTCTCGGAGGTGGAGGGTGTGCAGGGCCTGGAGGTCATCGGGGTCGGCCTTCAGCTGCACCTGGCCCAGGAACTCATCCTTCAGGACGCGGTGGTTCCAGATCTGGAGGAGACAGGGGTCCGTGGGGGCCACCCCCAAGGACAGGGCTGTGGGGGCTGCTAGTCGTGTGGGGCAGGGCCTCGATCCCACCCTTCAATGCCTCTGCCTCCCCATGAAGCCCTTTCCTTCGGCTTCCCCTCCTCTGTCCAAGCCTCCTCCCACATCCAAAGGTAAGTGTGTTACTAGGAGCTTTGTGTGACCTTGAAGTCTGGGTGACCTTGAAGAGTGATATACCCACCCCCTGCCTGCTATCCTCATCTTTAATATGAGTGGGCACTATGGTCTTTCTTGCCCCAACATCTACAGGTCTGTGTTGGATCCGGGGTTCAGAAAGCCTGCAGTGCCTCCCCTCGTAGTGGGGGGTGGGGGGGGGGTAGGGGGGAATTGCGGGGGGGCCCTTCCCTGCCAAGGTGCCTAAGTGTTCATTCTTTTTTTCTTTTTTAAAAATATATCTTATTGATTTTTTTACAGAGAGGAAGAGAGAGGGATAGAGAGTTAGAAACATTGATGAGAGGAGTCATCAATCAGCTGCCTCTTGCACGCCCCCTACTGGGGATGTGCCTGCAACCAAGGTACATGCCCTTGACAGGAATCGAAGTGGGGGGGGGGGGGACGACCCTTCAGTCCGCAGGCTGATGCTCTATCCACTGAGCCAAACCGGTTTTCGGCCTAAGTGTTCATTCTTACAGATGGTTTCTCACCGCAGAGAGGCTGGCCTGGGCCCGGGGGATAGAGGGCTTCCTGCTAACGTGCTCAGAATGGCCACCCCCTGGCCACCTTGGCCTGGGAGGACAAGGAGGCCCAGGCACAGGGACCTGGCTTTCTGACCTCTGCCCTCTGCCCTGCCGCTTCCATGCCACATTTCCAGGGAAGCCCCCCTGCAGGGGAGGGTAAGGAACCACTCCCACTTTGGCGACGTCGGCAGAGAAGACCACCCTCCGGGCCAGACCCTGAAGGGGCCAGAATCCCCGCAGCTGACCTAACTCCGCCCCCCGAGGGAGCTGGAGCACCAGGAGGGGCGGCGAGAGGACCCCCGGCACCGGCATCCCTGGGTCCCGCCAGAGGCTCGGCGACGCGGGGCCAGCCCGCCGGCACGGGGAAGCGTCAGGCTGAGGCGCGGGGAGGGCCCGGACGGGGGCTCACCTGGACGGTGACGGGCTGGCCGGGCTTCTTGCGGTAAAAGACGCCTTTCACGTCGTACTCGGGCGTCGCGGTGCCCTTCTGCACGGCGGAGCGGACCTTGTGCCCCTCGCACTTGATGATCACGTAGGAGTTAGCCCCTGGAGGGTGGAGCGGGGGGTGGGGTGAGGCTGGGGGGCGGGGGCAGGGCCTGGGGGACAGATATCTGGGCGTCGAGGTCCTCTCCCCGGAGCAGAAGAGGCGGCAGACCGGGCGGGGACACACCGGTCTCCTCCGGCCTCCAGGCCTCGCCCACGTTGCTCTGTCCAGAGCGTCCTTCCGCCCTCGTCCACCTCACCAGGCTTCGCCCCGCACCACCTCCTCCGGCCTGGAGGAAGCGCTCCCTCCCGGCTGCCTGCCCCCAGCCCTGGTGCCCCACCTCACCGGGGCCCCCCAAGAGTAGGAGGCAGTGTTTCTCTCTCTGCACCCCGCTTCCTCCCAGGGCAGGGCCTGCGCGGCCGGCAGGGAAGGCTCGCTCATTCAGAGACGGAGGGCTGGGAGCTCCGGGGGCTGGGCGCCTTCAGCGGGGGCGGGGAGGAGACTCGGGGGCGGCCTCCGGGGAGGCGGGGGCGGGGGGCTTCCCTTGCGCCGGCGCACCTGTCGGGGCGTCCTTGAGCCCAGCGGCCCCCAGGACGTGCACCTGGGTCACCAGCTGCGGGTAGCCGCACACGGAGCTCCAGCAAGAGCGGGCCGGCTCGTCCAGGCACAGCTCCCTGCGACCGGGCGGAGGAGAGGCGGGCGGTCACGAGGGGGGCCAGGAAGATGGAAGGGAAAGGGGTTCGAGAAGAGGGGAGGGGAGACTCGTCCCGGGAAAACTCCCCGGGCTTCCTGCTGCTCTATCCCCACCCAAGGGTGCCCGCCCCATCCCTCCCCAACGGAAAAGCAATGCACTGAGCACCTACTGTGCGCCACGCCCCCTGCTGGGCTGTTATAGGAATTATTTCTAATTCCCATTTATTGATTTTGTACAGAGAGGAAGGGAGGTAGGTGACTATGATGCCCATTTTACAGATTGGGAAGCATCAGGCTTGGCAGGGAAGGGCTCATGCCCACCAGCTGGGGGGAGCCCAGGCTGGCAGGATCGAGGCCCCGTGGGCCCACCACACGAGCTGGCCCCGGGCGTGGGATATGGGCAGGCAGCACCGAATCTGGGCTGCCTACCCCGGTGGAGGGCAGTGTGGGGCCCACAGGGCCTGCACCCCTGCAGGGATGGGACGGTGTTAGCAGTCTACCTAGCTCAGTGGTCAGCAAACTCACTCGTCAACAGAGACAAAAATATCAACAGTACGACGATTGAAATTTCTTTTGAGAGCCACATTTTTTAAACTTAAACTATTTAGGTAGACACATTGTGATGAACTTCATTAGGGTACTCCCAAGCTGGCCTTTGCTAAAAACTCAAGGGGCCAAAGAGCCGCATGTGGCTTTGCCAACCACTGACCTAGCCTAACGCGAGATCTCGGAACACAGCCCCAACCTCAATCCCCGATTCCGACCCCTAACACGAAGGGGCCAGGCCTCCTGGTCTGGGCTGGAGAATAGCAGGTGGGACGAGCGAGAGCTTCTGTGCGAGCTGGGAAGAGCTATGCTGGGTGAGGAGCTGTGCCAGCAGGTGGCTGAGAGGCTGGAGCAGGGAGCAGGGGGAGGGAGAGGAAGGGGACAGGAGCCGGGGTGGCTGGAGGCCTGGGCTCTAGGGCCAGGCAGACACTGAGCATCTTGGAGTCAGGTTCTGGGCCCCATCCCCTCCCCGCCCAGTACCCCGGGCCCGAGCCAGGCGCTGCGCACCCACCGGCAGTTGGAGGGCACGTCGGTGAAGACGCGGAGCAGGAACTCGCCGGTGTGGCCCGGCTCGAAGGTGGTGGGGATGATGACGTAGCGCCCCGCCCGCTGGTCGGTGCGCAGGAAGACGCTGCGGGAGTTGATGTAGATGGAGCTGGCGGCTCGGTGCTGCAGGCTGTGCATGCGGAACCGGCGGTTCTCCTCCACCTGCGGGCAGGGCGGGGGGGTCACACGGAGCCCCGGCGCCCTCACCCCGCAGCTCCCCCTCACCGCCGTGCAAAGGGTAACAACCACTTCCATGGGAGGCCCAGAACGGGTACCGCTACAGCGACAGAGCAGACGAGTGTCTGCCTACGGCGGGGGAGGCGTGGGATGCGTGGGACCGGGTGATAGGTGTGGTGCCGAAGCCGGTTTGGCTCAGTGGATCGAGCGTCAGCCTTCGGCCTGAAGGGTCCCATGTTCGATTCTGGTCAAGGGCAGGCGCATCCCCAGCGGGGGGTGTGCAGGAGGCAGCTAATCGATGATTCTCTCTCATCGATGTTTCTAACTCTCTATCCCTCTTTCTTCCTCTCTGTAAATAATCAATAATATATATATATATATATTTAAATCACATAGAACACATATATGGAAATTTCTTTTCTTTTTTAGATATATTTTATTAATTTTGTACAGAGAGGAAGGGAGAGAGATAGTTAGAAACATCGATGAGAGAGAGTCATCGATCAGCTGCCTCTTGCACACCCCCTACTGGGGATATGGCCGCAACCAAGGTACATGCCCTTGACCAGAATCAAACCCGGGACCTTTCAATCACCAAGCGGGCGGACGCTCTATCCATTGAGCCAAACCGGTTTCGGCTCAATAAAATATATTTTTAAAATATAACAAATAAAATGGGCGTGGTGATGGTGGCAGAGCTCTATGGCCACACCAGTCACTGCCCCCTTCACACGGCCGATGGCATGGGAGTGAGTCGGGAGCAATAGGAGTTCCCGGGAACAACGGCTGTGGGGGTTCATCGCTCTGCCCGGGTCACAGCGGTGTCCACGGGTGACATCGCCAGCTGGGAGGACAAGCTGGACAATGGCTGGAGTCCGGGCCACGGGAAGCTTCAGGCACGTCCGTGGGGGTCGGACACGTCATGTCACGGTCACAGCACATCAGCACGCCATGCATGGACCGACACCACGACATGAACAAGCTGCCACGACCAGCCTGTCAAAGGCCAGGGGCTCGACTCGGGCCACCCGCCCAGTGTATCCACGGGGTGTCACCGGGTGCTCGGCGTGTGGCTCTACGTGGAATGGAAGGTACCGGGCCCCGGCCCCGCAGGAGTGGCCGCCTGGCTCTGCTCGGGGGCCTCCTCCCTGCGCCCAGCAAAGCCTCCAGGTCAGCGGAACCCAGAGCCTGGCCCCACCCATCCAAATCCTCCCCTTCCCCACCCACCAAGCAGACCCGGCCTATGGCTCTCAGGCAGGAAGAAATTGGGCTGAAAGAGAACAACGGACTTGTATGCATGCATATAAGCATAACCAATGGGTGAAACACTCTGGGGAGGGAGGGCATGTATGGAAGTGGGGGCGGAGATTGGTAAGGTATGTACACATATAATACCTTAATAAAATAAAAAATAAAAAAAGAAAGAAAGAAAAAGAAATCAGCCGAAGCCCGTTTGGCTCAGTGGTAGAGCGTCGGTCTGCGGACTGAAGGGTCCCGGGTTCGATTCCGGTCGGGGGCATGTACATTGGTTGCAGGCACATCCCCGGTGGGGGGTGTGCAGGAGGCAGCTGGTCGATGTTTCTCTCTCATCGACGTTTCTAGCTCTCTATCCCTCTCCCTTCCTCTCTGTAAAAAATCAATAAAATATATTTTTTTTTTAAAAAGAGAAAAAGAAAAAGAAATCAGGCTGAGCACTCCCCCTGGGAGCCAATCCCAGCCAGGCTGGGCCTCTGTGGGCCCTGCAACCAGGACCGATGCCACAGCGTGCCCCTGGCGTCAGCCCACGGGGTCAGGGTGGCAGAGATGATGTCGGTGAGCCAGGTGTTCTTCCCCGGAGCCGGCGCCCTCGCTCTCCCCGCCCGGAGCCGGCCTCACCTTGTAGATGTCGAAGCCGATGGCCAGGTTTTCGCCCTTGCCGTCCCGACGGGTGGACTGCTTCGGCCGCTGCTGGATGGAGATCAGCACCTCATCTTCCGCCTTCTTGACATCAAAGATGTACTGGGGGCAGGGCCGAGGGGGGAGACGCCGGTGAGGCCAGGCTGGCCGCGGGCTCGCCCCCTCCCGGGAGCTCAGCCCACAGCCCGCGTGTGCGCGTGGGAGGTCAGGTCACCTCTCGGAGCCTCAGCCCCTCACCTGCCACCTGGGCCTAACCCGCCTACAGTGCATGAGGGGTGAGGTCACGCATGCTCAGCTCGGAGACGCATGCATATGGTGCTCAATAAAGACACACCTCTGGCCGAAACCAGTTTGGCTCAATGGATAGAGCGCCAGCCTGCAGACTGAAAGGTTCCAGGTTCGATTCTGGTCAAGGGCCTGTACCTTGGTTGTGGGCACATCCCAAGGAGGAGGTATGCAGGAGGCAGCTGATCGATGTTTCTCTCTCATCGATGTTTCTAGCTCTCTAACTCTCTCCCTTCCTCTCTGTAAAAAAAATCAATAAAATATATTTTTTGGGGGGGGAAAAAAAAAAAAAAAGACATATCTTTGATCCCAGGTTTCGGCAACAAAAAGTAAAAACCAAAAGGACACACCGAGCATGAGGACTAAGCCGTTGCAGGGGCAGGACAGGGGCTGCAGGGGAGAGGTGCCTGTGGAGGTGCCTGGCCAAACTCCCCCAGAAAGAGAGTTCTGTGTGTGTGAAAATAAGGGGTTTGAGCCCTGGTTCTGCCTCTACATGTCCCTGTACCTCTGGACAAGACCCTCAGTCCTCAGAGCCTTTCCCTCGGTTCGGCCAGCTGTGGGACTACATGGCCACCCAGACATGCCACCCAGGCCCCCTGCAGGGGCGGGTGTGCCGAGGCCCCCCGCGGGACAGGGACGCCGCGAGTGATGCAGGTGGAAGTCCCCAGCAGGGGGTGCCGGGTCCGCAGAGGGACAGGGACGCCGCGGGGTGATGCTGGTGGAAGTCCCCGGCAGGGGTGCCGGCCCGCGGCCCACCTGCGGGTTCTGGAAGAAGGTGTCCTTGTGGTTGATGCAGCCGCCGCTGCGGTTCTGCCGCGGGTCCTCGTGCCGCGTCCAGGCCCCGCGCAGCCGGGCCTCCTCCCAGGTCTTGTGGATGCTCAGGTACGACGTGTTGAGCAGGCGGCACTTGATGATGTCGGTGAAGTACTGGCACACGTCCTGGAAGGTCATCCTGGGGGCCAGGGGCTGGGTCAGGCAGGTCCCCCGGCCGGTCCGCCACCTGCTCGCCCTGCGTGCTCCGAACCGCGACTCACAGCAGCGAGCGCGGGCGTGGCGTCACCCAGACCCGGCACTTCTCTTTGGCCTCAGTTTCCCGGTGTGTAACTTGGGACTGGGCCGAACAACAGCCGCCACCACTGAGCGAGCGCAAGAATTAACTAGAGCAGTAAAAGCCTGTGTGCAACTCCCGGCGGCAGACAGCGATTGGGGAGGCTGGCGGTTACAATCATTAATAGCACCGAGAACGGATACAGGCCGCGCTCTGCGGCGTATAAACCACGTTCCCATCCATTATCGTCCACGGCGGTGGTGGGGCCTGAATAAACTGGTGGCGGGAACCCCTTGGTGAGCGTGCGGCAGAGGCCAGGACGTTGCCATGGTCACCGCGTGCTGCACACACGCCAGGGCCTGGGTGGGGAGGGGAAGTGCCCGCCCCCTTCAAGTAGGCTTCTATGGGAACACGCACACACACTGAGTGGCCAGATTAGTATGACCTCTGAATGCATAATAATCTGGCCACTCTGTGTGTGTGTGTGTGTGTTAGAGGCCCCTGCATGGGTGGGATCCATGGGGAGGGGACATGGACGGCTGGCCAGCCTGCCTGCACGGGGGGATAGTTTGCACATTAGGCATGTGCTGGAACCCTGCCGGCACAGGGAGGTCCTCCCTCACCCCGGCCGTCCGCCTGGGCAAGAGCTCACTCACCAGAACTCGCCGTCGTCCTGCACGGTCACGCCCATCTTCTCCCGCTCGCTCTTGCTCACCTTCCGCCACTCCTCCGAGCTGGGGCGCGAGCACAGGGGCAGGAAGGGGGGAGAGTAAGAGAGGGCCCCCACCTGGCCCCTGGCAAGGGCGAGGAGGACAGGGATGTGGGCAGCAGGCCTCCATTAGTGGGTGGGTGTGGGTGGGCACCGGGGCTCTGCCCAGCCCCTCTCTAAGACGCCTGTCTGCCCACTTCCACTGCTAACGTGGGCCGGGCCTGGAGGCCGGGGAGCAGAGCTGCAGGCTGGGGGTACGGGGGACATGACCCTGCATGGAGGGGTCCCTTTCCTGGGGGCCTGGTCTCTGTTCACCAGGCACAGAACGGTCACCCCCATCCTCACCCCCTTGGCCTCCCTCCTGCTTCCTCCCCTCCACCACCACTGGCCAGACTGGTCTCTGTCCCCAACTCCAGGCCTTTGCGAGTGCTCAATCCGGCCCCAGGTCCCACTCTGACAGTCTCCTCCTAATGCCACCCAACTCCCAGATCCTCCAGACCCAGCCCTGGGCCGCCGCCTCCAGGAAGCCCCCCTGTTCTGCCCAAGCCCTCACACCAAGCCCCGGCCCCACCCCACTGCCCCGCCCCGTGCCTGCGCCCCACCCGGCCTCACGCTCCTGCCTCACGCCCCGTGCCTGCGCCCCACCCAGCCTCACGTGTCGCTCCACGGCCCGGTCCACTCCCGCTCGCCCCAGGGGTTGCGCAGGCGGATCATGTCCAGCTTCTCGGACTTGAAGAAGGCCAGCAGCCCGTGGCCCAGGCGCACCTTGCGCACGTCCGTGATGGCGTAGGCGTGGCCCTTCACCAGGCCGCACGCCAGACGCACCTCCATGTCCGCTGCTGTCACGGCCTGTGGAGCAGGAGGAGGAGGAGGGGGAGGAGAGGGAGGAGGGGGGGGGAGAAGGAGAAGGGGGAGGGGGGAGGGAGAGGGGGAGGGGAGGAGGAGCAAAAGGAGGAGGAGCAGAAAGGGGGAGGGGGAGGAGAAGAGGGAGAGGAGAAGGCGGAGGAGGAGGGGAAGGGGGAGGAGGAGGGAGAGGAGGAGCAGGAGGAGCAGGAGGAGGAAAAGGGGGAGGGGGAGGAGAGGGAGATGGCTCATTAAGCTAGGCCCTATCAGGCTGCTGGTGGAGGCAGGGGCCCAGCGCCCCCTACAGAGCGGGGAGAGGAAGGCAGCCCCTCACCACTGGGTCAGCCACATCTGGATTCGAATTCTGCCTTCCCTGAGCCCCAGCTTTCCCAGGGAAGCATGAGCAGACCGTGAAATGAGACCAAGCGCCAGGCCTGGCCAGCAGGCAGCAGGCTCCCTCCCCTCTCCCAGCTACCCCATAGTGTGTGATGCCCCAAATTTTGACTTTGAGACCTCAGATGTATAGACACCATTCGTCCCAAGACGAGGGGGCCAGGGAAGAGGGTGTGGGTCACACAGTGTGGGCCAGGCATTTCACAGCGTAGGGGGCGGGGTGGGGGCAGGCAGCTGGTGCTGCCTGCACTGGGGCGGGGCTTGCACCGCTCCTACTGTCCCCGTCCCCCTGAGGCCGCGGGTGAGGCCAAAGCCACCACCCACCCCTATGGAGTGGGTGACGGGGCGAGGCCCCTCGGGGTCCGGCTCAGGGCTCTGACCTTGATGGAGGCGCTGATGAGGCCGCCCCGGCTGTGCACCTTCAGCATGCGCTCGAAGAGGGCGTTCCTCTTGGCCTCGTCGTTGGCGAAGTCCCCCTCGGTCAGGTCGATGGGCTCGGAGACGCCGCCCGTGAAGTCCACCAGCGCGTCCGCTGTGTTGCCGCCGTCCAGGGCCTGGTAGCAGCCCGCCAGCCTGGGAGCAACGGGGAGAGAACTCCCAGCTCGTGCCCCCAGCCACGCCACGTCCTTCACCTCACCGGGGAGATTGAGGCTCAGAGAGGCCAAGCACACTGCTCTGGTCACACAGCAGAGCCAACAGCTGTCCCACGGAGCCATACCACCTTCTCACTCCAATTCCCCTCAGGCCTAGCAGCCCATCTTCAAAAATGAGCTTCCAGCCGAAACTGGTTTGGCTCAGTGGATAGAGCGTCGGCCTGCAGACTAAAAGGTCCTGAGTTTGATTCCGGTCAAGGGCATGTACCTTGGTGTGCAAGAGGCAGCTGATCAATGATTCTCTCTCATCGATGTTTCTATCTCTCTATCCCTCTCTGTAAAAAATCAATAAATATATATGTTTTAAAAAATGAGCTTCCAGAAACGTAACACCTCCCCAGCGAGGCCTCTGGAGGAGGAGGGGGAGGAGAAGGAGGAGGAAATTCAGCAGCCTGGCTCTCTGGGAAAGACCACTGACCTGAACGTGAGTGCTGGCTCCCCCTGCCCCAGGCAGGAAACCACCCAGGGCCTCAGTCTTCTCAGGTCTAAGTGGGGGTAACTATTCCTCCCGATGTGGGTGGGTTGTGGGGACATGAAACCAGGTGCCCAGAGGGCCTTCCGTCCAGGCCTCCACCTCACCCAGCACTGGCTCAGCTGGCCCTGCCCTGGGCGGCCTAGCTCTGAGCATGCTGTGTGACTCTGCACCAGCCCCTGCCCTCTCTGTGCCGGGAGCCCTGGCTAAGGAAGCCATGTGGAGGCCAGCAGCAGTGCCATCCGGCCTGGCCCCCTGCCCCCTGCCCCCTGCCGGCACCTACTTGGCATAGGCCTTCTCCACCAGGGCGCACCAGAACTCGTTCGGGGCGTTGGAGTGGCAGTAGATGAGCTGGTTGTTGACCGTGGGCAGCCGGTCGTCGATGACCACGTCCACCCACTCCCCGAAGCGCCAGAAGTGGAAGTGGAAGATGCCCGCGTAGGCATCGGGCTTCTCGGGGTCCCACTCCTGCTCCTTCCAGTCGGGGATGACCTGAGGCGGGCGACAGGACGGGGACACACGGTCACATCTGGCTTCCTGAGGAAATGGGGGAGGGGGCGCCATGCTTCCAGGGAATCCAACGGGCAGGAATCCTGGGCTCGATGCCCCCTCTGCCGTGAACAGTGTGGGCCTTGGGCACATCCTCCCCTCTCTCTGCAGTGGCTGGAGGCTCCCTTAGGCTCCTCCCAGCTCTGCCATTCTAAGATCCGATGAGCTTCCCCTCCCTTCCTTGTGCCTCCATCTGCTCCCCCTCTCCCTCCGCCCCCAGGAACATCTCATATCCACCCCAGTTCCTACCTGGTGAATGGTGCCACAGCTCCCTGACCCCTCATCCCCACCCCCAGCCTGCCACAGGAGTTGGTAACCACTCTGGCCTCCTCCTCCCTCCATCCAATCAGGCCAATCCTAGTCCTACATTCTGCTAAAGCCCGTCTCCTCCTGTCCTTCCCCCAGCACCTCCCCGCTTCCAGCCTCCCATCTCCTCACCCGGGACAGACCAGCAGCCACGTCTGCCTTCACCCCACACAGCAGCAGCGTGAGCTTTCTGCTCAGCACGCCCCTGGAAAAACACCTAAGGGGCTCCGTCCCCTCCACCGCCTCCCAGGCTGGTTCCTCTACCCGACCCCGACCCCACCCGCCCCCTACTCCAGGATCATTCTCCGTCCTTCCTCCACTGGCTCTCACTGTCCTTCAGGGTCCACCCTCCTCCTCCAGGAAGCCCTCCTTGACCCTTCAGACGAGGCCAGGACCCCTGTCCATCAGTCTCATGGCTTCCGGGACCTCCCCTCTGAGGCCCTTATTCCGGTTGTCATCAAACAGTCTGTGGTGGCATGAACAGCGCTGATCCTGTCCCTGGAATGTCCGCTCCCTGAAGGCAGGGACCCTTCAGGCTTTGCTCACTGCCCTCCCCCAGCACCCAGCCCAGAGCCTGGCCCAGAGAGGGTGCTTGATGGAATGAATAAGTTCACGGGCCTTCTGTGGGACTCTAATAACAATTACTCTGATGGAGCATCTTGGAAATGTCAGGCAGCAGGCAGTGAGTGCCGGGAGTTACATCAGTTTCATTCCCACGATAACCCGTGCATCAATTACAATTACTCGTCCCTACTTTACAGATGAGAAAAAATCAAGCCTCAGAGAGGGCAACTAACTTGTTCAGGGTCACGCAGCTAGAAAATACACGTGCTCTTCATCAGGGGGGACATGTGCCCCCAGGGACCTGGATGAATCAGATGTGGTCCCTGCCTGCAGGAAGCTCCCGGTCTCCTGAGAGGCAGGCACACGGGTGCATTCGGGCCCTGGAGAGGAGGGGTGGAGGGCCCGGCCTGGGGCAGGGGGCAGAGGCTTCTGAGAGCGTGTCCTGAGAACTGGCCGTGAATGTCCCCTCACGGACAGGGAGATGGGCGGGGAAGGTAAGTCCCTTTACCCTGTGGAGTCAGGGGACCTGCTGGCCCTGCCAAACAGGAGACCGGAGGGGCCGAGCACCATCGGGACCAGGTGCAGCTCCTTCTAGAAGAAAGCCTCGCCCAGGCCCTGGGCGGGCGCACAGGCATCCAGGCTGGGGAGCCAGCCGTGCATCAGGAGCTGTAACCCCCAGGGCCCGGGCGGGCCTGAGCACAGAGACTTCAGCCAACATCCCTCCCCAGCCCCCACGCTCATTAAAGATGTTTTTGTTTATACGCCTCATGCCATCAGCAGGGATGTTGGGAAAGAGAAATGCTCCCTCGTGGGACATTCAAGGCCAAGAAAATGAAAACGCTAAGCGCAGTGAGAGGCGTCACAGACGTGAGGAGCCCGGGAGGTGCCAGGACTGCCCGGTGCCAGGCCCAGGGCCCGCTGTGTACTCCGTCACCCCGACCCTCGCTGCTCTCTCCGGGACAACCTACCAATCTACAGAAACGCTGCCAGGGCCGCCCGGGGGGCACAGTGGGGGAGGCGGGACCCACACTCAGGGCTTCTGAGCCCGGGCAGCGTCTGGAACCCAGCAGGGCCTGATCCTGGCTGAGCCGGTCCTTCCCGCCTCCTTCCTCCCCTTCTAGCCCCTCTGTGTCCTTTCTCACTAAAAGCTCCAGACTGCCGGGACCGGTTTGGCTCAGTGGATGGAGCGTCGGCCTGTGGACTGAAAGGTCCCGGGTTCGATTCCGGGCAAGGGCATGCACCTTGGTTGCGGGCATATCCCCGGTGGGGGCTATGCAAGAGGCAGCTGATCCATGATTCTCTCTCACTGATGTTTCTGACTCTCTATCCCTCTCTTCCTCTCTGTGAAAAATCAATAAAATATATTTTTTAAAAAAAGAGCTCCAGACTGTCCCCCAGCTCTCCCTCCTGCTTCCCTCTCAGGACAGAACGTTGTGCACAAAGCAAGGCACGTGCAGGGTGGGGTGTCATCCCCACTACACAGGCGGGAAGACTGAGGCCCGCCGAGGAGCAAGGGGCTGCCCACGGAGCGACGGGGAGTCCAAAGAGAACACTGGCCTGGCCACGACCCGCTGCTCAGCTCCTCCCCCCGGCTCCGAAAGCCCTGGCCTGTGCGGGAATGGGGGAGGGGACACGAAAGGGGGGGGGGGCGGGGGGGGCTGAGGAGGGAGGAAGAAGAGCCCTCACGGGCCCTGGGAGGGCCTGCTGGGGCTGCGGGAGGATCATTAGCCAAAGCCAGGGCTTGGCTCTGCGCCCTCTGCGGCTCAAGAAGCAGCTAATAAGGCTCCAGGGTCTGGAGACCTGGAGTCAGGGCTCCCTGGGACCTCCCTCCCCCTTCGGCATCACAGCCCCCGGATCAGGCAGGGGGTGGGCCCCACGCCAGCCGCCCCCCCCCCCAACTCAGCCTCCCCTACTCAGCTCTGTCGTCTGCTGGGTGCCACGCCAGGGAGACAAGACTGTCCGGGAAGGGGCACTTCACAGGCCCACAAACTCAACTCCCTTCCTGACGGCATCAGATGGGGCCCCAAATCAAGGGAGAGAAACACCAAAGCCCCTGGAGCCACATCAAAGCATTCCGGACCGGCCTGAAGAGGCTCCAACCCGGGCCCATCTGAGCAGCAATGAGGATAACAACTTGGATGGAAACACGTCAGATGCATTCACATCCGCGAGCTGCTGATGGAACACAAACTATTAGTCACTGCCGGGGGGTGGCAGGGCGTCAGCTCGTGTCTGTGCGCCCGGAGGACGAAGGGGGAGAATGAGAGATGTGTCCTGCCTCTTGCGCACAAGCTGTACCGCCGGGGGGACCGAGAGCACAGGGAGGGAGGTCTGTAGCAGGAGATGAATGCCAGCCAAGCACGGAGACAGACACGAGAGTGTTAGACGCCCGCTGTTTTGCAGCCACTGGATTTACGACATCCTGGCTTCTGACATCACAGAACCGAGCGGCCACCGCCGGGGAAGCAGCTGTGCCTGACAGAATTCGAGTGTGAACCTTACCAAGCCTCTGGGGCTAAGTCCTGGGCACTGAGAACGTGGTGAACCACACAATGAAAACAAAGCCTCAAACCCAGAGAGAAAGCCCCACCCCCACCCCCCACCCCAGGCCCTAGCCAACTCGCTGGGTACATTCCAAGACCCCAGTGGGTGTCTGAAGCCGCCGTGAGAGCCAAACCCTATCCATCCTGTGTTTTCCTGTACACACACAGTACCTACGACAAAGCTCAAGTTATAAACCAGGCAGAGCAGGACATTCATTCGGAAAAGTTTATACTTGGTAACTGTAAACTCTATTTTTCCTGTATCGTTTTTTCCTACACATGTACACCTCCTATAACACTCGACGTACACATTAGGCACCGTTCAGAGACAAGCACTTGGATGCTGGGGCAGCTGACCTGATCACTGAGACACCGTGTACCCTCGCGGAGACACGGGTCAGAGGCGTGACTCACATGCAGGCGGGAGGGAGGGGGCAGCACAAGAGCTCACCACACTTCTCAGAACAACGTACAATTTGAAACAGTGTGACCTGTTTATTTCTGGAACTTTCCATGTAATGTTCGGGCCACGGTTGACCATGGGTAACTGAAAGGGCAGAAAGCAAAACTGAAGACAAGGGGGCCCTGCTGCCGCTGGACAGGCATGGACAGCAGATCCTCGGCAAGCAGACCTCCAGGAAGACACTGAAAGGTGAAGGGGAGCAGCCAGGCGCAGCGACGGGCCCTGGGTCTCATTCGAACAAACTGGAACACACACACACACGTTTATGGCACAGATTTCCTGGATACTTGAAGATATTAAAAAAGGAGTGTAAAATTTAGTTGTGTTACATTATTACTGTGAGGGTTCTTTGTTTTATTTGAAATGAGTCGTTATCATTCAGAAATCCATCCAGAGCCGAAACCGGTTTGGCTCTGTGGATAGAGCGTCGGCCTGCGGAGTGAAAGGTCCCCGGTTCGATTCCGGTCAAAGGCATGTACCTTGGTTGCGGGCACATCCCCAGTGGGGGATGTGCAGGAGGCAGCTGATTGATGATTCTCTCTCATCGATGTATCTAACTTTCTATCCCTCTCTCTTCCTCTCTGTAAAAAATCCATAAAATATATTTTTAAAAAAAAAGAAAAAGAAAGAAATGCATCCAGAAATATAATGATACCAGAGGCACGGTGCAAGAATTTGTGCACAGGTTGCTCCCTCGGCCTGGCTGGCAATTGGGGCCAATCAGGGCCGCTGAGGGGAGGGGCCGCAGGAAGTTGGCTGGCAGAGGGAGGTTGGCTGTGGGAGCACACTGGCCACCAGGGGGCAGCTCCTGCGCTGAGCGTCTGCCCCCTGGTGGTCAGTGCACATCCTAGCTACCGGCTGGTTGTCCGGTCCTAATGGTTGCTTAGGCTTTTCTATATAGAGATGTTGCCTGGGGGGAAGGGTAGAGAGGAAAGGGATGGGCCTTGAGTTGACAACTGTTGAAGCAGAGGATGGGTGAAGGCAGCTCATTAGGCCGACTCTCTCTTGTTGGCTAATAAAGGTTGAAATGCCCCCTCACTGGGGACACCAGCTCCCTGGCTGGGCAT